TAAAAACTGTCATGCAGCCTGGCCTGTCAGCCTGAGGATAAAAACTGTCATGCAGCCTGGCCTGACAGCCTGCGGATAAAAACTGTCATGCAGCCTGGCCTGTCAGCCTGAGGATAAAAACTGTCATGCAGCCTGGTCGATCTGGCTGTGATCCTCTTGGATGGCAGCAGGGTAAACAGTTCATGTGAGGGTGTGAGGAGTCCTGCACAATGCTGCAGGCTTTTCGAACTGTCCTTGTGGTGAATGTGCCTTGTAGTGATGGGAGAGGCACCCCGATGATATTCTCGGCTGTTCTAACTATCCTCTGCAGGTACTTGCGATCGGAAACGTTGCCGTTTCTGTATCAGACGGTGATGCAGCTGGTTAGAACGCTCTCAATGGTGCCTCTATAGAACGTGGTGAGGATGGGAGGGGGAAGGCTTGCTCGTTTCAGCCGCCGCAGGAAGTGTAGTCTCTCCTGGGCTTGAGTGTTGATGTGCACCCCAAGGAGGAACTCACATGGACGACCAACACCACTTTTCAGCACTCGTCCAGGGACACCATCAGGTTCGGCTGCTATGTTGGGGTTGATATGCCTGAGGGCCCTTCTAACCTCATGTGGGCTGAACACCAGGGTATTCAGGGGGGCCTCCTGCAGGGTCAACCTGGAATGATGGTGGTTGGTATCCATGTCAAACTGTGCGAAGAACTGGTTCAGATTGTCTGGGAGGGATGAGGCCACTGCGCTGGTTGGACAGGTGTTGGTGCTTTTGTAGTCAGTAATGGACTTGATTCCCTGCCACATGCACCGGGGGTCAGAGTTGTTGTTGAAGTGCTCTTTGATTTTGTCTTTGTAGGAGCACTTAACCTCTCTGATGCCTCTTCTCAGGTTGGACCTGGCTGTTGAGTTAACTTCTCGGTGCGGAAAGCCTCATCACGTGACTTCAGCAGCTTTTGGACTTCTCTGTTCATCCATGGTTTGCATTTGGGGAAAGTGCCTATGACCTTGAAAGTGGTAACAGTGTCCATGCAGTGTGGGTGTCCTGTGTGGATTCCAGTTTGAACAAATCCCAGTCTGTTTCATCAAAACAGTCCTCTAGTCTGGTATGTCAATGGCTCCTTCCGGCTAGACTCTGATGGTCTGTACAGTGGGCTTTGTTCTGGTAATGAGGGGTTTGTATGCGGGGGTCAGTAACAAAGAGATGAGATCAGACTGACCGATGTGGGGGGAGGGGGTCTCTTTGTAAGCATTTGCTATTTTACAGTATACATGATCCAGTGTGTTATTTCCTCTGGTTGGAAAAACAACAAACTCGTAGAATCCGGGTAGCACGGTTTTCAGGTTGGTGTGATTAAAGTCTCCCGCAATGATAAATACGACGTCTGGGTGGGTGTATTGCAGTCCGTTTGTAGCATCATGCAGCTTATCAAGTGCTAGCTTAACATTAGCCTGAGGGGGGATACAAACGGCGGTGAGAAACACCGCAGTGAATTCCCTCGGTAAGTAAAACGGTCTGTGAAAACTGAAGCGCAACTGTTCAACTTTTGCAAAGAAATCCTCAGCCTCAGCTCGTCTATCCTGTTAACTATAGACTGGGTGTTTGTGGCAAACAGAGGAACTTTGTTGGAGGAGTTCTTTAGCCTAGCATGATTGTCGGTGTTCTGACGAGTTGAGCTACCTATCGAGACGTGCTATCGAGCCTTTCTGTGCATGTGCAGTTCCACTGTCTTGGGATTAGGGTTAGGTTCTAGGGGTTAGGGTTAGGGTTAAGGTAAGGGTTTTAGGGGTTTTTTGGGGGTTAGGTTTTAGAGTTGGGGGTTAGGGTTAGGGCTTTCAATTAGCACTGCTGCACCATATCTCCTATTATTGCTTATGCAAGCACTGACTCTGCATATTGAACAGGGTTTTATGAAAGACATTCCAATAAATGATAAAGCGCTTAAATAGTCAGCTGGCAGAGAATACAGTCTTTTTGCTAGAAGACAAAGAATAAGTTAAGAGAGCATTGGATTGTTTCTGGTGCAGTTTCCTCTATACCAGGTTTAACCCTGAATGCAGTGTGGTTGTCCTGTGTGGATTCCAGTTATTAAAATGTTAAAAAAAAAGTAAAAAATAAAGTGAATTGTTTGCCTTGAAGGATGGATCAAGGGACTTTTTGCAATGAAAGAAGGATTCAAGTTACTTGTTTGTGTTACTTAAATAAATTATATTGATACAATATACAATTAGTTTTTATACATCATTCTTTGAACTTAATTGACTCAGGAACAGTAGGTACACAACTAGAATGATACTTTGTATTTTGATATCAGAGCATCGTTGAATCTCACTCATTTTCTCATGTCTAATTAAACCAACTGAATCACTTTCCATCCATCTATTTTCCAACCCGCTTATCCTTCTCGGTCGTGGGGGGTCTGGAGTCTATCCCAGAAGCTACAGGCACGAGGCCGGGAACACCCCAGGATGGGGGGCCAACCCATCACAGTTTGTTAATACCCCTACCAGGGGAGAAGTCCTTCTTGATCTTGTTTTCTCTAATAACCAGGATAGGATTGGAAAATTAGAGGTTTTAGAACCTTTGGACGGTAGTGATCATAACATGGTTAAATTCAAGGTTAATTTTAGTGTCCGAAGAGCAAAGTTGAAATTAAAAGTATACAATGTTAGGAAGGCTAAC